CAAATTTAACGGGTGGGAGGATGTTACCAAAAATGTTCTGGTTAGACAGGCACTGAAAGGTTTCAGGAGGGGTAAAGTGTCAGTGGATACTAGGAGGCCGGTGTCGTTCGAATTGCTGCAGCGGGTGGTCGGAGTGCTGCCTGCAGTGTGTTTTTCAGGATATGAAGTGACGTTGTTTTCCGTGGTTTTTAGTTTTGCCTTTTTTGGGGCATTTCGGGTCAGCGAGCTAGTTAGCAGCAATCGCCAAGGGTCCGGGAGACTTCAGGCGATGGACGTGGAAGTGTGGAGCAACAAAGTAGTGATTAACCTGAGGCAGTCCAAAACGAATGTAATGGGGAAAGAAAAGTTGGTTACGTTGTGGGAGCTCCCGGGTGGGAGAACTTGCCCGGTTAAGTGCGCAACGGCCTTCCGGGAGGTGCGGGCAATGGCCGGGGTTCATATTTCAAGCATGAGGACGGCTCTTCGCTATCGAAGTTCCAGTTCCTCAGGGTTTTTCGGAAGGCGTTGGCAAGATTGGGTGTGGACACGAGCCAATTCGGGACACATTCTTTCAAGATTGGTGCGGCTACTGAAGCGGCGAGACTAGGTTTAGGTGACGAACGGGTGAAAAAGATTGGCAGGTGGGAGTCCCTGAGGTTCAGGTCTTACATTAGGCCAGACAAGTTGGTTTAAGTTGGAGGATGGAAAAGGGGGAATGTTGGTGCTTGTTTTGCGGTTGTCTATGTTTGCTTTATGTTTTACAGGTCGGATGGCATGGGTGGTCAGCCACTCATACGTACAATGGGCGCAACGGAGAGCTGCAGTTCGACGTCACGGTCTACAGCTGGGCTTTACAAGTTCTGTGGTGCAGCTTCGGTTGTTTGGTTACCGGGGCTGGGGTTGGAATGTTATATGTGAGGAAATGTTTCACAAAATTATTTTGGGACAGATTCCGGACATAGTGGTGCTTCATGCAGGGGGCAATGATGTGGGGTCGTTACCTCAAAAGGTCCTGCTCGAGTGTATGAAGAGGGACGTGGACAGGTTAAGGGAGTTAGGACCAGGGGTTATGGTAGTATGGTCGGAAATGGTTCCGGGTTGTACTGGCGGCACGCGCGGAATCCCTCAGCGGTGGCGAAAATTAAGGGTAAGGTTAACAAGGTGATGGCAGCGTACGTGAGGCAGTCAGGGGGGGTTGAGATCAGGCACAGGGAGTTGGAAGACATGCTCCCAGGTTATTATAGGAGTGATGGGGTCCATCTGTCCGATGTGGGTTTGGACTTTTTGTTGCTGGGATTCCAGGAGGGCCTCCAGAGAGCACTTTTTTCCCTAGGGGTGGGTCGAGCTCTGAGCTGTGGCGGGGGATGGAGTGTAAATTTGGGGGGAGAAACGAGTGAGATGGGGAAAAAGTTTGGAGTTCAGGGCTAATATGTAGGTCTTTGGACTGGTTTGGTAGGTTCGAGCTCGTAGGTAGCTCCGAACCGGGGTGTGTATGGGGTGTCTCGGTATGCCCCTACACTTGTGGTGCCCTTTGGTGGCAATGGATGGTGCCCTTTGGTTGCAATGGATGGTGCCCTTTGGTGGCAATGGTCATGTTCATGTTAAATAAAATGTTCAATGTTTGGGTGTTATGTTATGTGGGGGTGGGTCATTGTCAAGGGGTTAATTGTAAATGCAGGATGTTAATTGTGCAGGCCAACATTGGCCTGCTGTTGACAATGACCTTTAAATTTATGTTAATTACAAATAAAGCTGTGATATAATTTTGCCAAAACCATGGCGTCTGTGCTTTATTGGGGATTGGGGTATTTGGTGGGGGTTCTTAAGCAGAGGCCGACAAGCTTTTTTTTTTTGTCTACCTTGGTGCTGGATTAGAATGGCATCCCAAGGCTACGGTGGGGTTGCAGGCAATGCTGGGTTTTCCTTGTCCTCTGGAGTGGCTAACTTCTCACACCAGAAGGCAGTGATCTGATATCACCTCCTCCCAGTACTGCCATGCAAGAGAGCAATAAGGGTTGTCAGTAGAGCTTTTAAAGTGGTTCACTCCACCTCAAATTAAATATGCGGTCCCGCTAGTGTAGATATGTCTATCTCCCCAACTGGACATAGCACTATTTCTATCAAATATAATCAGCTGTCTAAAAGATTTTATTATTAGTGTATATCAGGGGTTCCCAAAATATAGATTCCCAGATATTTTAAAACTACAGTTTCACTATAGCTTTGTCATTTTAAATGCATTCTAAAGACATCCAAAGCATATTGGGAGTTGTAGTTCAACAACATCTGGGGATCTTACTAAGGAGGTTTTTTTTTTCCCATCTCCACTCTATTTGTCTTATTTTTTCTAGGCACTTTTCAAGCGACGGAGCACAATGGCTTTCCTTGTAATGAGGTGATGAAAGCGGCTAAGAACTTTATTTTAAACAAACAATCAATATATGTCAACTACAGGCCAGCTGGTAAAATTAATTAATGAAGTAATTTTTTTTACTTTAAATACAATCAAATACAATGAAATACATGAGTACTTAGCAAAAATGTTGTTTTCACCTGCTGAAATTAAGATTCATCCTTTTTACTTTTTTCTTTCTTTTTCATGGGTACTTACCTCCTCCCCAACCGTTCCAGCTCTACCTTTAGCCTTCATGGTCGTGAAATAGCCCCTGGGCACTGCCTCTCTTTGTGAAAGTCTCATTCCCCTTTGTCAAAAGAGTCATTCCCCTTTGTTGACACTGATGAGCTGCCTTAATTGCCAGCAGTAGTTTGAACGGAAAAGTGTTGCCACACTAATAATTTCAAAGTAAACAAGGGAAACACTTTCCATGTCCTGCACAACAGTATAAACAATATTTTTTCCAAATAACCTGTGACAGAGCCCCCTTACTCTGACCGAGTAGCTCCGCCCAGTCCGCTTCCCAGTAACTTTTAGGGACCCTGGAACACCTTATCGCCAACCACTGAAGCTTGAGTGGGGTCTCTCCAGAGCTCTTCCACGTGACCAGGCTGCATCATTCTTCTTCCAGGTAGGTTATATTCCCTCTGAAGTTCGTCTTCCAGGCAGTTATCCCTACCTTTGCAATGTGAGCAGCTAGTGCCTTTATAAAGACATATTAGACACAGGACACACAGTTCCAAAAGGATCTAGCTGTCAGGGTTTCTTTGCTGTTTTAAATTTGTTTTTGCATCTAGTTCTGTCTCTTTCTGGTTCCTGGTCCCTAACATTAGCATACAATACTTTATTTTCGAACAAGGATTTGATGACTAGTCCTTAAGCATGTAGTGAAAACCAATAATATATAAACATACATAATGTGAAGAACAAGCAACATAATAATGCCTCCAATATATAATATCATTATAACTTTCCAAACTATGGGAAAACATAGATAAATATAGATGCAACTTGTCAGTTTTTAGAATATCCTAGTTTTTATATTGTGATTATGCCAACAAAGTGTCAACCCTCTTACACTTACCTTGGCGATCTGCCGACGCCAGGATTTGGTGGACTGTCGCTCCCACGCACCCTGAGGTTCCACTCAGCCTCAGGGACGCCGGCCACTGTGCACCCGACCCTTTTTATGACGTCATGACGACGGAAGAACTCTATGCAAAAGAGCTCAGCACACACACGTACCTTTGGGGGGCGTGGTTATGCTAACCACGCCCCCAGCCATATAAAAGCCCAGCCTGCCCAAAGCACAGTGCCCTGTTGTTCTTCCTAGTATTCCTTGTGTCACTAGTGTCCTTATAGCCTGTTCCTGTATCCGTTGTGGTATATATTTGGTTTTGACCCGGTTTCCTCTCAACTATTCTGTTTTCTGGCTCCCTTGACTCGGCTTTGTTTCTTGTACTTATGTATTCCTGGCTTCCCTTGATCTAGGCTTGTTCTGATGTTCCTTAAAGTGTATTCTTTATTATGGCAATTCTAAGGACCGGTTTATGGTGTTCTCTCCTGGTGAGTTTTCACTCTGCATGTTGGGTTGTTTCACCAACAAAGGGCAATGGAGAGTCATCACAAACCTGAAAATATAAATCTCCTTTTAAAATGAGGGTAGCCCTACCTAGCAACAATGGCAAACCC